GATCCATATTCATTATTTACATTTAACATTATAGTTTTATAGAGTTGGATTATGTGCAAGTCCGTTTCGGTAATTAGTAGCCGATCGGATTCTCCAATATTGCATATAAAACCTGAGAGATATTTTTTTAACTATTGGAGGACTAAATACAGACTTATATGCCATGAAATATGGTATATTCGATAATCATAATAATAATAATTTCTGTTATTAAACTGCGGGTAGGAGCTTATATATGACGATCTTAAGCCAAATTATTAAGACGATATTAAGCCAAATTATTAAAACGATATTAAGCTAAATTATTAAAACGATATTAAGCCAAATTATTAAGACGATATTAAGCCAAATTATTAAGACGATATTAAGCCAAATTATTAAAACGATATTAAGCCAAATTATTAAGACGATATTAAGCCAAATTATTAAGACGATTTTAAGCCAAATTATTAAGACGATATTAAGCCAAATTATTAAGACGATATTAAGCCAAATTATTAAGACGATTTTAAGCCAAATTATTAAGGCGATTTTAAGCCAAATTATTAAGACGATATTAAGCCAAATTATTAAGAAGATATTAAGCCAGCCGAAACATCTAAGAGTCGGAAATTATAGGAAATCAATAATAAATATAATAATGTCTGATAAAGAAATGAACTGAATAAGAAATGAAGATCTCTGATGGACCATCTCTCTAAGAATTCCCAAAAATATTTCTAACACAGCCAAATATCCTACGAAGAGCGTTGTCCATTTAAGGTGTTTTAATGGCTGTCTTTCGTTTAATTCAGCGGAATTAACAATAAAATGTCAAATCTTTCGCTTACCGGGGGTCATTGATTAACGAATCGGCATATAAAACAAATGCAGGTCATAAAGAAGAAATCTATTTTAACAATAATAATAATAATGTGGCAAACCCTCCTATAGTAGAATGAACTCTTCCTCCTCTCATAAATACTAACTGCGAGACTTCCTAGAGTAGAGTCGTAGAGCAGTTTTTGACTGTGTGCGACTTCTGTCAAACTCTCTGCTTTGGCAGAGAGGAACCCGGACAAGAAAGGGCAAAGTTGTTGTTCATGATGACGGTCGTCTTCGAGTATAGAATCCAGAAGGTAGCAGTGAATATTTCGAAGACAGTAGGGAAGCGTTGTTCAGGTTAGCAGTGGATATTTTGGTAAAAGTAGCAGAGCATAGTTCTTCCTTCTGTTCCTCTTCGCCTGACAAGCTGGCACTGGACATTCGGAGAGAGTAAACAAAATGGCCGCCTTTATACACGACGGATTGAATATTTTACGTCTTTTGATTGGTTAACCCTTCTCTTGGTGGACTATAAAGTGAGTCAAGTCATTTGGGCTAGCTCACTAGTACACTGCCCCCAAAACTGCAACAAAAGTTTCGTCCGGGGAGGTAGACAGATCCCGAACCCGTTTATGCGGGTTCTGAGGGAATATTTTTCGCCGAGCCTTCGGGCTCGGAGAAACCCACGTTAAACTCGGCCTTGTGCCACATACATTCCTCGTGGGGGGACTGTTAAATATAGAGTCGTTGAGCAGTCTCTAACTGTGTGCGACTTTTGTCAAACTCTTTCCTTTGGCAAAGAGGAGCCCGGACGAGGCTTTGGCGAAGGGCAAGGTTTCGTCCGGGGAGGTAGACAGATCCCGAACCCGTTTATGCGGGTTCAAAGGGGATATTTTTGGTCGAGCCTACGGGCTCGGAGAAACCCACTCTGAATTCAAACCCTGAGAGGAGCCCCTAAGGCTAATGGACGGCACTTTGTGCTACTTTCCGGCGACTCCTGCAGCCACGCTGGTACCAAATTGTATTGGTTTATCCTCTCCTTTGGACTCTGCTAGCAAGGCCGAGAGGGGGAACTAGACGTCCGGGCAGCGCTAGTTCTCCATATATCCCACCCAGGCTCGTAGCGCAGCGCGCTACTCCATCGTTCTCGAGGCGGTCGGATGCCGATGATGATGACGACCTGACGAAGGCCGGAGCGTACAACGTCCGAAACGTCGTGAATACGGCAATAAAGACGAGGACAATAGTTCTAACAATATAACTAGTGTAAATCTTAACATATATCTTCCCTACCCATCCCCATAAAATATATAAATAATGCAAGAGGTCTGGGAAATATAATGTCAAGACAAAGGTATGATCAAAGAAACTCAGCAGCCGAAGCAGCTAGAAACATTCACTCAGTTTATGTTGAAGAATGTGTGAATGAAAGAACTTGCAGAAGATGGTTTGCAAAATTCAGAGGGGGAGATTTCACCCTTGAAGATGAAGATCGGACTGGACGTCCATTTGAGCTTGATGAAAAGCTTCTTGAAGCAACCCTTGAGTTTCCTTTCTTGAACTCATAAAGCATTATGTGCCTCAAATGATTCTTGGGTACTTCCATGTTAGCAGGGTTTTAATCAAACAAAATTTAATTTTATTGTTCTCTGAAATAAAATTTGATCAGTTTAAATGCATCTAAACATAAAAATAATGTTCAGCTCCATTACACATTATAAAATACTCTTTAAATTTCGTTCATTTTAACAAAAAGTTAAAATTCGGACAGAACTTATGGGATGACCTGATACATCTAAATAGGTGCCTTTTCGCCAAAAACGAAAATGAGTCGAAAGGTCCCCATAGTACTGTAAATTACTATAATAAAAGTAACATTCAAAATAGGGAGAAATGCCAAAACATATTCAATAGATCCGGATTTGTCACAAAGGAATTAGAAGCCTATTAATACCTCGAAGTCAGCGGAGAACATGAAATGCAGCATAAGCAAATGAAGGAGAAAGTAAGAAAAAACTACTCCAGGTGCGTGCGATGAATTCACAAAATAGATTATCATCCATAAATACGTTGACTGTCCCCGTGGCGCAGTACCTTAACTGGACCAGAGCTGACACGAAGCGAATCAGTTTTATGCGTAAACAAGCGAGGATTGTTAATTAGAAATTATCAAATAAACATAATGAACATTTTGTCGACTCCAAATCCAGATTCTGTGATGGATATTTAGGAACTATTGACCATCTTGTATCAGGTTCCATGTTATTAGCATCCACTGAATATAAAACTACGTCCTGGGTATGACGGTAAACTACATCCGCATCCTGGGTATGGCGATAAACTACATCCAACAGCAAGGCCTCAGATAATGTTTTCGGAAAAATAATGTTGCCAGCTATACTTTTTTTGAAACCATAATGTTGCCAGCGATGCGTTTTTGAAACTATAATGTTGCCAGCTATACGTTTTTTGTAAAAAATAATGTTGCCAGCTATACGTTTTTGACTTTTAAAGTCACTCAAAATCATTTTCGGCATAAAGTGACCACTAAGGTTGAGATGCCGTTAAACAAAACAATCAACAATCAAATGGAAATTCTTGACTTAAACAAATACCTCGGATTATTTTGCAGTGTGCAAGCAAATATGGTCTAGCTTGCTAAAATGTTACATATAAAAATAGGCATTTAAAATTCATATATTTGCATATATATATATATATATATATATATATATATATATATATATATATATATATATATATATAAAACTGACATAAAACCCAAACAAACATGAATATAAAACTCGATATGACAGGATGCAACAATATCAGCACTTGAAAATTTGCAACATTTATGTGAAGGAAACTGCAAAAAATTGGTATGAACACCACCCAGACCCGCTTAGTGACATAAGACCTGTAATTTTATGGAACTTTCTAATATCAACACAAACAGAACAATCAAAGCTAACCTCCAAGATATAAAGGATCAAAGACCACAAAAAACAGAATGTGAATCTGTTACTGAGTAGTTTTTACAGTGGAGGCTTGTATTACACTAAGTCGGTCCTAAAAAGGTTTCGACGTACAAAACGTTAGGAACTTGATATAATAGTTAATGACGCAGCAATCTTGTTGTGGTGGTTGATACTTTAATGTCCGACATCGACTGACTGACCAACTCACTGAGCTCTTCGCGACTGCTACTACTACTACTTATTATAGGTGGGAGAGTCTATTAATAATAGAATAGGTATGTTCCAGAATCCTTATTGATATTATAATCAGACTATATTTCTTTGAATATCTTCAAGAAATTGTCAAAATACAAAGATCTTAAAATAGAAACTCCAAGAACGTGGCATATAAAGGTATCAATACTTCCAGTTTGGAAGCTCTGGTTATAATTGGAAAATGTTCTGATAGACACATTGAAGGAATCCCTGGCAACTTATGTCGTAATGAAATGCATTCATCTGGACTTCGCTTCTTTGGTAATGCTACGAAGATGGATTTACAAAGGTCTTCCCGTATTCCAGCACTATTGTATAATTGATCACCTTTATGAAGTTATCGATGCTGAAATCGTCTAAGGAGATATAATGTAAATCCATATAAATATTTTCTAACACTTTCCAAATAGTTCACAAGGTCTACACTTATTACGGGACGAAATGGGCACCTCGAGGCGGTGGTTAGGAAACTTGTCTCGCTAGAACAATTACGACTGAGTAGTGAGTTCGATCCTCACTGGATGCTTCATACTTTCAGCCTTGTGCCACATCTAGGTGGGCCCCTGAATGAAATGTTTACACACCAGAAATCGAAGGAAATAAAACAATAATAATAATAATAATAATAATAATAATAATAAAGACATCAATAATTCAAGTTGTGGTTGTAGCCCTGGGTTTAATTGAAAAAGGTTCTAATCGACTCATTGAATGGATCCCTGATAGGCCTTGCCTGAAAAAATACAAAAATTGTTCTAACAAGTACAACTCATACCTTACGAAGGGCTTTGTAAAATGTGTGTGATCTTTAGACTGTTTTATTTTGTTTATTTCTTTTACAAAAATGTTCAATGGAAAATCTCACGAAGCCGTTTTTGACTTTAGTTCTCTGGTTGGGATCCGGAAATCAAAATAATAATAATAATAATAATAATAATAATAATAATAAAATAAACAGAAGCCAAGAACCAACTATTGCAGCAAAAGATATGAAAAAAGAAGCCAAGGATAAAGCCCTTGAACAGATGAAACAACGCTGGCAAGACAAACCTCTGCATGGCCAATATCCAGAACGTGCAAATAAAGCCAATGTTGATAAAGTTAATACTCATCGATGGTTACGAGCATCTGGATTAAAGTCTGAAACTGAAGGCTTTATTCTTGCAGCGCAAGACCAGAGTCTTTTCACTAGGAATTTTTCAGGCAAATATCATACATAATAATGTGGATCCAAAATGCAGGTTCTGTGACAAATACCAAGAAACAATAGACCATCTAATCTCAGGATGTTCTATACTTTGCCCCAAATGAATATAAAAATCGTCACGATAGAGTGGGGCAATACTACACTGGACAATGTGCAAACACTTTGGAAAATGTGTAAGCAAACACTGGTATTGCGCCGGTTACAGAAATGAAGATTCACCATTCTATGGGATTATACCATCCACACAGACAGAAAAATTGAAGCAAATAGGCCGGACATTATTGTCAAAAACCAGAAAGAAAAAACTTGCCTACTAATTGATAATTGTCCAGCGGATTGTAACATAGCAACCAAGGAATTTGAAAAACTATCAAAATACAAAGACCTGGAAATTGAAATAGAAAAAATGTGGAAATTGAAAACAAGAATAATACCAGTGGTAATAGGTGCACTTGGAATTATAAAAAATGAACAAAACAACACATTGAAAGAATCCTTCCCCAGCTTAAGAGACATACAGAAAATTGTCTTATTAAGTACAGCACACACACTAAGGAGAACTTTGTCTATGTAACGCTAGCAACTTCATCGGAGATAAAAAAAAAAAAAAAAAAATTAACATGAAATGTGGCCATAACAACACACCACGACCTGCCTTAGGTCTTTCCGCAGACTTAGTAGGTAGTGTGTCCATAGCAGAAATCGAATGATGATGATGATGACAATAATAATAATTGAAAAAAATTCCGATAGACACATTGAACGGATTTCTAGTAACCCACATCTTAAAGTAATACAAAATTTGTACTCACAAGTACAGCTCACACATTACAAAGACCTTTATCTATGTAAAACATATGTGATCTTAGATTTTCAGTGTGGAATATCATGAAGCCATTTCTGACCTTAGCTCTCGTGTTGAGACCCGGAAAGAAATGTGTATGCAACTGAAATCAAAGGAAATAATGAGAGCGATTTAAGAAGAGAAAAGAAAGAGAAAAGAAAAAGAAAAGAAAACACAGTGTTTGACAATGTTAAACAATATTTCGACATTATTTACATTATTCGGACTATTGTCCTCATCTTTGTCGCTATGTTTATCACAACGTTTCGGCCGTTGTACGCTCCGGCCTTCTTCAGGCGGTTGGAATGTCGAAACGAACCCTTTATTTCGCTCACTGGGGTTGACTGTTCTAGTTCCACGTGCCATGTCTAATGGATGTCGGTTATCTCATGTTAATTCCCCTCTGAAAGTTCCCCACTGCCTCAACCAGGTATTGAACTCATACTCTTTGTGTTCGATTCGACATTCCAACCACCTGAAGAAGACCGTAGCGTACAACAGCCGAAACGACAAAGATGAGGACAGTAGTCCGCATAATTTAAATAGCGTGCATAATACCTCATCTCAGAAATATAGACAAATACTGAAGGGCCGAAATGTTGTAATAAATATGGCGACAAAGATGAGGACAATAGTCCGAATAATGTAAATAGTGTACATAATGCCTCATCTCAGAAATATAGACAGATACTGAAAGGCCGAAACTTTGTAATAAATATGGCGACAAAGATGAGGACAATAGTCGAATAATGTAAATAGTGTACATAATACTTCATCTCAGAATTATAGACATATACTTAATGGTTGAAACGTTGTAATAAATATGGCGACAAAGATGAGGACAATAGTCCGAATAATGTAAATAGTGTACATAATGCCTCATCTCAGAAATATAGACAGATACTGAAAGGCCGAAACGTTGTAATAAATATGGCGACAAAGATGAGGACAATAGTCCGAATAATGTAAATAGTGTACATAATACTTCATCTCAGAATTATAGACATATACTTAATGGTTGAAACGTTGTAATAAATATGGCGACAAAGATGAGGACAATAGTCCGAATAATGTAAATAGTGTACATAATGCCTCATCTCAGAAATATAGACAGATACTGAAAGGCCGAAACGTTGTAATAAATATGGCGACAAAGATGAGGACAATAGTCTGAATAATGTAAATAGTGTACATAATACCTCATCTCAGAAATATAGACAAATATTTCGACAGTAAGTCGGTCTTCTTCAAGCAATATTTTTAAAAAAATTTCAAATATAAAGCGATATAAATCTACAAAAAAATATGTCGTACAAACGTTGCTCGTCTTGTATAAATTTATTGTATTTTTAAGCAGAGTTTTGGCACAAGGCCGAAGAAGAAGTGGTGTGATAGTGGTCGTCATTGACTATCTTAAATCTCGCTTTGAGTAGTTTTGTTTTAATCTGATTCACGACCCATTCATTCATTACAATTTACTCATTCACCACAGGAACTCAGCCCTCTTCACCCAAACTAACATTTACCTAAATACCACAATACTCATAGGGGAGCCTACTAAACGCCCATATATGTAAAAAAGGGATTGTCTTGTAATGAAAGAAAACGGCTTTCCTGGTAATGAACGTGTCAAAATGAGACAAAAAAGAAAAAGAGAGAGAAGACAAGAGAGAGAAATGAAAGAGAATGCGTGAGAAAAAAAAGGAGGAGGAAAATGAGAGAAAGAGGAATAAAAGAAAGAAAGACATTTAGAATGAAATAGAAAAAGAGTTAGAAAAACAAAGAAAGAAAGAAAATAACAAAGAAAGAAGTAGAGTGGGATAAAGAAAGAAAGAAAGAAAGGAAAAGAAAGAAAGAAAGAAAATAACAAAGAAAGAAGTAGAGAGGGATAAAGAAAGAAAAGAAAGAAAGAAAGAAAGAAAGAAAGAAAGAAAGAAAGAAAGAAATAGAAGATTAATGAGAGAAAGAGAATCACAAAGAGAAAATAGAGGGATAACAAATAAGAAAGAAAGAAAGAAAAAGAAAGAAAGAAAGAAAGAAAGAAAGAAAGAAAGAAAATAACAAAGAGAGAAGTAGAAAGAAAGAAAGAAAGAAAGAAAGAAAGAAAGAAAGAAAGAAAGAAAGAAAGAAAGAAAGAAAATAACAAAGAAAGAAGTAGAGAGGGATAAAGAAAGAAAGAAAGAAAGAAAGAAAGAAAGAAAGAAAGAAAGAAAGAAAGAAAGAAAGAAAGAAATAGAAGATTAATGAGAGAAAGAGAATCACAAAGAGAGAAATAGAGTGGGATAACAAATAAGAAAGAAAGAAAGAAAGAAAGAAAGAAAGAAAGAAAGAAAGAAAGAGAATAACAAAGAGAGAAGTCGAGAGGGATAAAGAAAGAAATAAAGAAAGAAAGAAAGAAGGAGAGAGGGATAAAGAGTGAAAAAGAAAGAAAGAAACAAACAAAGAAACAAACACTGAAAGAAAGAGAGTCATAAAGAGAGAAATAGAGATGGATATCTAATGAAAGAGTGTGAAAGGACAAAGAGAGAAAGAATGAAAAAGAGGGTGAAGGAAAGAAAGACAATAACAAGGAAAGAAAAAGAGAGAGGTAACGAATGAGTGAGTGTGAAAGAAAGAAAGAAAGAAAGAAAGAAAGAAAGAAAGAAAGAAAGAGGCAATAAAATGAAGAAAGACACGGAATGGAACAAGAACGAAATATTTGTTGTTTAAAATAAAGCCTTTTACCTCATTAAGTTAGAGACTTACTGATGAACCCGCGTAGAGAGGGAATTACAGTTAATTATGTGAATGACGAACTGACAGACACACACACACATCCACACAGCGAGAAAGACACAGAAAGAGACTCACATACGTCGAGAGGAAACACTGGAATGCTAAAGAGAGGGGCGGAAAGTAGTCTGCAAGTTGCCAGGAGGAGGGGAAAGAGTACGTAACCGAGTCTTTCAACAAACGGTTCAAATTCTCCGAAAATAAAATGAGATTCTGATCACTCAAAGAATCATTTCGGATTTTGTTATTTTCCTTCACTTTTTTTTCTTTTTTTCTTTTTTTTTTTTTTTTTCGTTACAATTTTGATTTATTTTGTATATTTGGCATTAGGAGAAATCTGAACGGTTTGGCTAATAATTATCGATTTGTTGATTAAAATCGAATGTTCAGGCCTCAGCCGATAATTATTGAGTGAAGGAGAAAAAGAGAAAGAGAAACAGGTGGAAAAAAAAGAAGACGTGAATGAAACCATTTGAAAAAGACAGTGTGAATGAAAAGGCATGAGAGTGAGAAACAAGGAGGATAAACGAGGCAGAGAGAGAGTGGGAGAGAGGGAGAGAGAGAGAGATTTGAATAAAGACCCTGGGAGAAAAAGAGAAAGAGAAAAAGAGTATAATAAAAATATATATAAGTGAATGAAAACACGCAAAAGCGAGAGAGGTTGGAAAAGAAAGACTTTAAGAAACAGATAGATAGATAGATAGATAGATAGATAGATAGATAGATAGATAGATAGATAGATCTGAATAAACTAGGATACATAGATAGATCTGAATAAACTAGGATAGATAGATAGATAGATAGATAGATAGATAGATAGATAGATAGATAGATAGATAGATAGATAAGAATAAACTAAGATAGATAGATAGATAGATAGATAGATAGATCTGAATAAACTAGGATAGATATAGATAGATAGATCTGAATAAACTAGAATAGATAGATAGATAGATCTGAATAAACTAGGGTAGATAGATATAGATAGATAGATCTGAATTAACTATAATAGATAGATAGATCTGAATAAACTAGGATAGATAGATAGATAGATAGATAGATAGATAGATAGATAGATAGGAATAAACTAGGATAGATAGATAATGGATCTGAATAAACTAGAATAGATAGATAGATAGATAGATGAATAGATAGATAGATAGATAGATAGATAGATAGATAATAAACTAGGATAGATAGATAGATAGATAGATAGATAGATAGATAGATAGATAGATAGATAGATAGATAGATCAGAATAAACTAGGGCAGATAGATAGGATAGATAGATCTGAATTAACTAGAATAGATAGATAGATCTGAATAAACTAGCATAGATAGATAGATAGATAGATAGATAGATAGATAGATAGATAGATATGAGTAAACTAGGATAGATAGATATAGATAGATAGATAGATAGATAGATAGATAGATAGATCTGAATAAACTAAGATAGATATAGATAGATCTGAATAAACTAGAATAGATAGATAGATAGATAGATAGATAGATAGATAGATAGATAGATCTGAATAAACTAGGATAGATAGATAGATAGATAGATAGATAGATAGATAGATAGATAGATAGATAGATAGATAGATCTGAATAAACTAGGATAGATATAGATAGATAGATCTGAATAAACTAGAATAGATAGATAGATAGATAGATAGATCTGAATTAACTATAATAGATAGATAGATCTGAATAAACTAGGATAGATAGATAGATAGATAGATAGATAGATAGATAGATAGATAGATAGATAGATAGGAATAAACTAGATAGATAGATAGATGGATCTGAATAAACTAGAATAGATAGATAGATATAGATAGATAGATAGATAGATGAATGGAATAAACTAGGATAGATAGATAGATAGATAGATAGATAGATAGATAGATAGATAGATCAGAATAAACTAGGGCAGATAGATATGGATAGATAGATCTGAATTAACTAGAATAGATAGATAGATCTGAATAAACTAGCATAGATAGATAGATAGATAGATAGATAGATAGATAGATATGAGTAAACTAGGATAGATAGATAGATAGATAGATAGATAGATAGATCTGAATAAACTAAGATAGATATAGATAGATCTGAATAAACTAGAATAGATAGATAGATAGATAGATAGATAGATAGATAGATAGATAGATAGATAGATCTGAATAAACTAGGATAGATAGATAGATAGATAGATAGATAGATAGATAGATAGATAGATAGAACTGAATAAACTAGGGTAGATAGATAATTCTCATAGATAGATAGATAGATAGATAGATAGATAGATATGAACAGACTGAAATAGATCTTGAATATATTTGTATAATTGGGGATAATTTTACAGATGCATTTTTTGTTACATAATCGGTTTTGTAAAGGACATTGCCAAGTGTGTCTCTCGTTGCTTGTACCTGCATAAATGTGTGTCCGACGAATTATCTTTCCATGGGTAGTAGAAGGAAACTAAATAATAAAGAGGGGAAAAATCCGAGAGTGAGAGTTTGGGGGGGTTGGAGACAGATAAATATAGGTAAAATCAATCAGTCTTGTAAGTAAATAAGAGACGGGTGAAATTTTCTCGGCTGGGGACCTCTATTTCAAATGTCCTATTGTGACATTTGGCCATCAATATTGATTTTACGAACTGTGTCAAATCGGGAACTGTATATCGATACATGAAGGGATCAATAAGTTTTTGATTGCATTTTGATTTCAAAATTTTCAGTGGAAATGCTTTGTTGGCGTCTTGAAGATTCAACAGTCATTCCAGCAAGGAATTGATAAAGAAATCCTTATTAGTCTGTCTGTATTTATGAGATGAGGTATTATGTACATTATTTACATCATTCGGACTATTGTCCTCATCTTTGCCGCCATATTTGTTACAACGTTTCGGCCGTTGTACTCTCCGGACTTCTTCAGGTGGTTGGAATGTCAATCTGAACCCTTTATTTCGCTCACTGAGGTAAACTGTTCTAGTTCCACGTGCCATGTCTAATGGATGTCAGTTAACAGTTATCTCCTGTTAATTCCCCTCTGAAAGTTCTCCACTGCCTTAACCGGGTATTGAACTCACACTCTTTGGGTCCTCAAGGACACATGGCACAGTGGTTAAAGGCGTTGGTTAGATCCAGTCACAGGACCCAAAGGGTGTGAGTTCAATACCCGGTTAAGGCAGTGGAGAACTTGGAGAAGGGAATTAACAGGAGATAACTGATAAATGACATTCATTAAACATCTTTGTCGCCATATTTATTACAACGTTTCGGCCCTTCAGTATCTGTCTATATTTCTGAGATGAGGTATTATGTACACTATTTACATTATGCGGACTATTGTCCTCATCTTTGTCGTTTCGGCTGTTGTACGCTACGGTCTTCTTCGAGTGGTTGGAATGTCGAATCGAACACAAAGAGTATGAGTTCCCAGGTCCACCGTGACCCAGGCTGGTAGCACCTGTTAGGGTCCCAGCTATGGTCAAATAGTTAACTATTACCAGCAATATTTTTTTGAAAAAAATTATTACCAGCAATACAATTTTGAAGGAAATATATTACCAGAAACAGATTTTTAACAAAACAAAATATTGCCAGCAATAAAAAATGTTGACGGCATTAAATAACTCATTGAGGTGTTGATATGCCGTAAAACAAAATAAACCAAACCAAACCAAGAAGTTTTATGCTAAAGACAATTCAGTGCAATAGTCCCTCATTTTCTGTAAAGCTGTCTATTGCTCAACTCGCTAAAAAACGTTGTAAGGAAAGAAGATTAATGCACACACCCCTAGGTTTTCCAGAATAATGGACAGGCTTCCAGCGTTTTCAGATTAATGGACAGGCTTCCAGCTTTTTCAAATTTACGGACATGCTTCCAGCTATTTCAGATTAATGGACAGATTTCCAGCTTATTCAGATTTATGGACAAACTTCCAGCTATTTCAGATTAATGGACAGACCTCTAGGTTTTCCAGATTAATGTACAGGCTTCCAGATTTTCCAGATTAATGGGCAGGCTTCCAGCTTTTTCAGATTAATGTACGGGCTTCCAGCTTTTTCAGATTTATGGGCAGGCTTCCAGCTTTTCCAGATTAATGTACAGGCTTCCAGCTTTTTCAGATTAATGTACAGGCTTCCATCTTTTTCAGATTAATGGACAGGCTTCCAGCTTTTTCAGATTAATGTACGGGCTTCCTGCTTTTTCAGATTTATGGGCAGGCTTCCAGCTTTTTCAGATTAATGGATATACCTCCAGTATTTCCACAATAAATGGATAGGCTTTAAGCTTATGCAGATATTAATCCAATAGAAAATAATTTGCTCTGGCTATATCTACCTTTCTGATTCTCGTTAAAACCGAGACTATGTCTACCTTTCTATTGTTTATAAAAACGATAGAATTCGGCATTAAATTTCCTGCAAGACGTTGATATGCCGTAAGAAAGCAAATCAAACCAAACGGCTATCAGTTCAAGTACTATGGCCTATTTACCTATTTCCATAATTCAATTAGTTTTACGTCGATAACAATTGACTCTGATAAAGTGGATAAAAGAAATAGTTTTTTTCTGTTAAATCTTTTTTGAAATTGTAGAGTCGACGTGGCTTGGAAGGAAAAATTATGCAAACTTGCAAAAATGTATAAAATTTTGAACACGAGATTAAATCTATCATACGTAAAATTATTGTTTACTAGTTTTATTCCGTGATGATTTCAGGATTTTCCTATTTCAAATTTCTGACGAATCTTAATTCTTCAGTTAATGATTGAATAAGCTGATGGGAAGTTCTACGACAATAAAATATTCGTAGAAATTCCCTTATCGCATCGTTAAATATTTGAGCTTAACAACCATAACAAAATATTGCAATGATAAATCATAAATATGGATATTGGTTTTAATTTTAAGAAGTAAGGGGATACAAATGAAAAAATGACAACTATTTTCCATTTCACTGTAATAACATTTAAGCACTTCTTTCTTTCTTTCTTTCATTCATTCTTTCTTTCATTCTTTCTATATTCCCTTCCTTCTTTCTTTCTTTAAATTCCTTCTTTCTTTCTTTAAATTCCTTCTTTCTTTCTCTCTTCTTTCTTTCTTTCTCTGGGTCTTTCTTTCTTTCTTTCATTATTTCTTTCTTTCTTCCTTTCATCCTTTCTTTCTTTCTTTTTATCTTCCCTTCTTTCATTCTTCCCTTCTTTCGCTCATTTTCTCACTGAAACCAAGTAGCGTCTCTTATATGTCTTTTGTTTTGCCACGCAATCAAAATGGAATAACCCTTTATTTATGAATATTGACAGGAGACGTTAAAGACTTCTATCGTCTCTTCTCTCTTTCTTTCTGCCTTTCTTTCTTTCTTCCCTTCTTTCTTAATTTCATTCATTTTCTCACTGAAACCAAGTAGCGTCTCATATGTTTTTTGTTTTGCCACGCAATCAAAATGGAATAACCCTTTATTTATGAATATTGACAGGAGACGATAAAGACTTCTATCGTCTCTTCTCTTTTTCGCCTTCATTTTCTTCCTTCCTTTCTTTCTTTCTTTCTTTCTTTCTTTCTTTCTGCCTTCCTTTCTTTCTAGCTAAATCCCCGTCTTACGAACATCTCTCTTTAAAATGATTTTAAAATAATTCAGCATTTTTATTTTATTTCTGGTAGCTGAATTTTTGACGATTGCCTTACTCAGTTTTCGTCGTTCGAAACAGGGCATCGGAAAAATGCCACCGTCTCTTCTCGGCCTTTTAGCTCGAGGAAGTTCAAATAATATTATGCTCAAGTCCCTGGGTGCCTTCCTCAACTGGCAGTACATCCCCTTCGAAAATGGAAGTGCAATTTTTTCACAGTATGGCCATAAAATCCACTTTCAACTGACCTTGAGCCGTGTTCGGTTACGACGTGGCGGCGATGAAAAAAAACCGCTTTTCGAACGGATAAACTCTATTTCATATCTCAGCTGCGTCTCTGTCTTCGGAAAGAACGCAACTGAAAAATGGAGAGGGGGGCAGCTGCTTTCAGAAGTACCTCCCCTCAATTCCCTTAAGAGCGGGGTGGGGGGGAATCGGTAGTTATACCGATGACAACGGAAACGACGGCTAGTCGGGGGGGCTGGGCTATTTTTCGGTCTACGAAATGCACCCCCCACATTGAATTGTATCACATCCCGACAGCGTTTCTCGGCGTTTTGGCTAAAATCAAAGTGTAGTATCTGTTCTTATCAGCTTACTATATGCCGGTTCCGTTTCCCTCTAAATATTTAACTTCTTTATATTTTCATAGCGGCTTTCTGATTTTGCACAGTTCTCAGTAGCTCCCCTTTCCCAACCAGTCATGATACATCATCTCAGCCAACTTCTTTTACTTATTATTATTATTACATGGCTGACTGTATTATCTCTGTATAATCTGCTGTTACTGTTTTGCTATATATTGTCTCGCTTTACCTTAATGTATTTGGTCGTTATTTAATTATTCTACTTCTTTATAGACATAGGAATTCATTTTCTCGTTTCAGTTGTCCTCTTCTCAACCATATACTTGACACTTCATCTGTAACTTCCTTATTTCTTGAAATGTCTGTATGGATATATTTGGTCTCATTTTAGCGTTAGTAGTACTGATGACAGCGCAAACGACGGTTAGTCGGGGGCGGGAGCTGGTCTATTTTTCGGTCTACGAAATTCCCCCCCCCCATTAAATTGACCTTGTATCAAATCCCGTTTCTCGGCGTTTTGGGTAACATCAAAGTGTAGTATCTGTTCTTATCAGCTTAGTCTGATTCTTTCTCTCCACTTCTCTTCTTTCTTTCTTTCTTTCTTTCTTTCTTTCTTTCTTTCTTTCTTTCTTTCATTTCTTCACTGAAACCAACTAGTATATATTACTTCTTTTCACACGATCAAACCGGAAGTGACCATTATATATGCCACGTAACGGTCGTGCAAACTAACGAAGGAAGGCCAGAAAAAGTAAAATTATAAAAGGATTCACTTCAGAACCGAGTCAATTTACCTCGGCCGAATTGTGTGGTATGGGGTTTCGGGTCTTTCATCAAAATTTCGATCTTCTTGAAAAGGATTCTGCCTTCTCGTACGTCAGGTATTTATATAACTCATCCGGTTATCTTGTGTCGATGTATCCTTGCAGCCGAGTTCAATTCCTGATTAATACCTGATCTCTTTGTTTTATATCTTATTTAATTATTCTAGTTCTTTATAGATATGGAGATTCACTTTCTCGTTTCAGTTGTCCTCTTCTCAACCATATTTCTGACTCTTCATCCGTAACTTCCTTATTTCTTGAAATGTCTGTACGGATATTTTTGTTCTCATTTTAGAATTTACCGATTCTCCATTTGTCCACCTGCCGCTCTGTGGACCAGATAATCTGTTTACCTGAAGACGGCCGAAGAAAGAACCGATCGAAACATCTCACAAAATGTACTGAATGGAATCTTTTAATATTCTAGGATAGCTAGAGCCAAAATTGAAATATTTTTTCCAGTCACGAAGACTCTTGAGACGTGATATGAGGGATGACATAATAGCACTATGGATCCAAATTTCGAAACAGTGCTTCCAGAATGTCGTCGAGTCTATGCCAAGCAGAAATAAGGCGGTTCTAAAAGCAAGATGGAGACCAACTTAATATTAGAGAAAAGCATACTTTTAAACAGTAAAATAAACAGTAAGTGTATTTCCCCGTGAACTTTTGTAGAACATAATCTGGTGATCTGCGACATGTTCGGCCATTGCTTCTTTGTTATACATTTTGAATGCTGGAACCGAATTTTTCGTTTGATCTGCTTGTTTAATACATTTGCTTCCGAGGCAAAAACTACTCTCTCAAAAGAATACTCTCAGAATATTTTTTCGGCATCTTTGTTGGCTGTGTTAATAATTTGGCCGGAATATTGGGAAAAAAAATCTTCTTCCTCTTCGACACTTCCATTCAGATTCTATCTTTTTCTTCCTTCTGGAATAAGAGATTGAACTATTTATTTTGTTTTTTACGACTTATCAACCTTCTGTAGGTTATTTAAAGTCAGAAAATATATTTAGATTGGAAGAATTTTTTAGAGATAATAATAATTTGCTGATAAAAGTCAGACTATTTATCCCATAGCTGTGGGAAAAAAGATATATTTGCGCGTAAGGCAATATAACGAATCCGATTAGAATTCGAACTCTGTTCCCCGATTAACAATTCCGATCCGTAATCTTGGATGTGCAAGTATTACCCAAGATTAAAACACCTGTTATTCCCAAGCGGTCGGCCATCTAGGTACTGACCAGGTTCGATATTGCTTAACTTCGATGTTCGTACAAGTGTCTCTGTGAAATGGCCGTAAAGCCGTGGGATGATAGAAATATTTCTCAGCAATTTGAAACATTTCAAAGAAGGCCATTGATATCTATCTATCTATCTATCTATTCATATATATTTCATTCTGTTCATATTTATCTTCCTCGGTCTGTTCATATCTATCTCTCTATCTATCGACCTCACTTCATATCTATTCATGTATCTATCCATCTCACCATATATATCTAGTTCATTCTGTTCATATCTTTCTTTTTTTCTTTACCTATGATTCTTTCTCGATCTGATCTATCTATCTCTATCTATCTATCTATCTATCTATCTATCTATATATATATATATACACACACACACACACACACACACACACATATATATATATATATATATATATATATATATATATATATATATATATATATATATATCTATCTATCTATCTATCTTAGTCTGTATTTATTTCATTACCTACCTATCTATCTATCTATCTATCTATCTTAGTCTGTATATATATATACTACCTTTTTATATTTCATATAATAATAATAATATAATAATATAATAATATTGTTCATTACCTTCTTCCTATCTTCGTCTAATATCATTTCTATTCTATCTATATATATATATATATATATATATATATATACACACATACACACACACACACATATATATATATATATATATATATATATATATATATATATATATATATATATATAACAATTTGTTCATTACCTACCTATCTATCTATCTATCTATCTATCTTAGTCTGTATATATCTACCTTTTTTACTTTCTCTTTATTTCTTCCTCGGTCTAATCATTTCTATCTATTTATCTATCTATCTCCGTTCATTATCTATCTATCTATCTATCTATCTATCTATCTATCTATCTATCTATCTATCTATTTCCGTTCATTATCTATCTATCTATCTATCTATCTATCTATCTATCTATCTATCTATCTATCTACCTCCGTTCATTATCTATCTATCTATCTCTCTATCTATCTATCTAATAACTAGCCATTTGAATCATCTCCATTACATTATTCCCTTGTCTTTACAAACCCCTCATTTCTTCTCTTACACGTCGCTGTCGCTTCCTTTCTTTTCTTTCCGACTCACGTAATTACCAATTTACTTACCTATTTCGAACACCTTTAAATAGGCTGGCAACAAACAGCCGAGCCGATTCTACACGCACGCCAACGGTGAAACGCACCGAAAACTGTTGGCTTTGTGCCTTGTGTAGCAACGAGATGTTGCTCAGACAAGTCATTTCATACATTGAAAGAGACAAGCGAAATGCAAAGAGCTTTATTCATTAGAAAAAAAAAACTAAAGCTGCTTTCCCTAAACACAGAGAAGCACCAGATGACCAAAGTTATTTGAACAAGTTAATAGTGTGAGTATATATATATATATATATATATATATATATATATATATATATATATATATATAATAAACGTGTGTGTGCGTGTTCAGGGTAAAAGAATATGTGAAAACCCTCAATGAAAGTAAAGTAAATTGAAATGGTTAGCAGTAATGAAGATTTTTTTTAGACGTTTTATATCTGTCGCTAAAAAATTTCCATGCACCTTTTCCCCTCGAGGTGGTTTCTAATGTATCAATCTTGATATGTTCATATCTATCTATTTCAGTTTTGTTTCTATCTATCTATCTATCTATCTCTTTTCATATCTATCTATCTATCTATCTATCTATCTATCTATCTATCTATCTATCTACTCCAACCGCAATTCATATCTATCTATCTCTTTTCATATCTATCTATCTATCTATCTATCTATCTATCTATCTATCTACTCCAACCGCAATTCATATCTATCTATCTACTCCAACCTCAAGTCATATCTATCTATCTATCTATCTATCTATCTATCTATCTATCTATCTATCTATCTATCTATCATATCTCTTTTCATATCTATCTATCTTCTATCATATCTATCTATCTATCTATCTATCTATCACTATATCTCTATTCATATCTATCTATCTATCTATCTATCTATCTATCTATCTATCTATTCTGTCTGTTCATATCTATCTCTATGTCAGTCATTTTTTCATTCTCTCTATTTCAATCTCTTTCTTTCTATCTCTATCTATGCCATTCTGTTCATATCTATCTATCTATCTATCTATCTATCTATCTATCTATCTATCTATCTATCTATCTCCGTCTGTTTATATCTATCCCTCTATGTTAGTCAGTTTCTTTCATTCTCTGTATTTCAGTCTGTTTCTTTCTTTCCTTCTATCTATCTATCTATCTATCTATCTATCAGTCTGTACATATCTATCTATCTATCTATCCCATTTTATAATATCAATCTGTCTATCTCATTTTATAATATCTTTCTGGAATACGTTCGAATTCCAGTCAGATTCGATACATTTACTTACGTGCAAATCCTCCTGAGAGAAATGTGAATCCATGTTCTCCTCCTCCTCCTCCTCCTCCTAGCTCTAGTTTATTTAATAGGAGTTGTTAAAAAATTGTGGCCGTTCATTTCTTTTTCCTCAGTCTCTTCATATCTATCTATCAATCTAATTCTCGTCACATCTCTGTCTGTATATGTTCATATATATCCTTCTCATTCAGTCTATCTATCTATCTATCTATCTATCTATCTATCTATCTATGTTTTTTCTCTTCATATCTTTCTGTCTATAGATACTCATATCTACCCTGTTATCTTATTTATATCAAATGGTATGAATACCATTTGATGTCTCTTTTCTTTCCTTCATGTTAATCCGTAAGTCAATCTTTTCTTTGCATGAAGATTCCGGCATAAACTTTAAACAAGCCACACATATCTCCCTATTTTCATAGATGTTTTTAGACGACCCTTCACAATCGTAAATATTTCTACAGTGGTTACCGAATTCTGTATGCTTGCTTCTAAACTCGATGCTGTTAGGATTTCGTCAGAGGTCATCAAATCCAAAACGCCAACCTTTTTGTGACATTTCTCTCATGGCTTTGGCAATTCAAACTCACCACTGGTCAGTCAGTTCTCAACCGAGGGAAGTCGCCTTTCTCTTCCCTGCACCTGACCAGCGAAAGCGGCGGGAATTTGAGAGGAGTTCTTGGATCAAATCAAACGGTATTTACCAAAGATACGCAAGCGGTGATAGTTAGGCAGCTGATCTAAGTTTTGGAGATCAGCAATCACTGATGAGGTCGCAAGGGTTAAATAAAGAAGAAGCGTAATATGTCAACACCAGATGTGGTCAGTTAGGAACGGAATGGTGGCTTGTGCCAATTCCACGGTTGCAATCAAAGATCAACGGGAGTCCAAATATCGAGAGCAAAGAATATGCAAATCAGAAAAAACGATTTTCTCAAAAACGCAGTTAAATGAACCTACAGTCTAAACTTAACGATTTCTTTACTTATTCTCTGCTGAGCGAGTTTTCAAAAATAATACATTTGACTCTAGAAATGATTTTAATATACGAATGATTTGGAAATGTTAATGAGTTCTTTACGTGACCTATAACATTATGGTGACGATTTAGTAAACATTTTGTTTTAATCGAGTTCACCGCAAGTAAGGTAATAAAGCCACTAAGATGCAAGGGATTACTGAGCTTGGAAGAATTAGAAACAAAAACTAAGAAAGCGTAATCAGGAGGAGAGTAGATAGCAATTGACACTGCATTTTAATTTTTACAGATTAAAGTTAGCTGCAAAGCATGGAGCCAGAAGGGAGTTCCAAAAGTGAGAAGTGCGAGAGAAGAAACAGTTAGCATAGAATTTACGGCTACATCTAGCCAACTCAAGTGTAAATAGATGAGACCTAGACGCCAATCTAGTACTGCGGTTAAATTCATGAAGTCTAGGTACCATAGTGAAGGGCTCATTCGAACAATTACTATGGGCACCTCGAGGCGGCGTAATGGTTAGCAATCTTGTCTCGTTAAAACAATTACGACTGAATAGTGAGTTCGATTCTCAATGGGTGCCCCATACTTTCGGCCTTGTGCCACATCTAAGCCGGGCTTAGCAAATCACTATTCGAACATTTACCATGAAAGTATTTATAGAAAAGACATAGAGAGGCAACCTTATGGCAGGGGGAAAGTGACTGGAGCTGAGCCACCAGATCAGGACCAATAATATTGCAGATTCTTCTTTGGGTCTTATCAAGGAGGTCAAAGTAAATAGCAGGGACACCGGACCAGATGTGTCAGCAATATTCCAAGCATGGACGAAAGGTAGATTCATAGATATCTGATAGATTCTGGAGAGAATAATTGTCTCGCATGACACAATCAACTTTCTTAGCGGCTAATCTATCAATGGATTCAATATATACTTTCCACTTCATGTCAGTCGAGACCCGAAAAGATGCAATGAGTCACCTTCTTGGGGGCAAGCATCAGCTGATGAAAGGCAAAAGTGGGATATCTCTCAGAATATTAATGAAGAGAAGTTTAGTTTTGAAGCGTTAAAATTAACAGGACATCCTTTTCCCCAGTTAACAACAGACCTCAGTCATTTTGAACATTAGCTGTCAATTTGACCTTATCGAACTGATCAGATTTACTCCTGAGACAGTATTAAATGACCTTGTCATCAGCGTAGATACCATGTTGAGAGTTGATGACATTGGAAAGGTCATTAAAGAAAATTTAAAACAAAGTAGGACCTAGGATGGAGCCCTGGGGGACAACTGAATTAGTACGAAATGATCTAGGCGAGTGGTCGTTCAGGATGACTTTTATATCACGATTTGATAGGAAAGACTTGATCAGTTCAAAAATCCAAACTTTCATTCCATCTAATGATTCCATATCTAGTGATATAGCAAATACTAAAAGCATCTATAGAAATTCATTGCAAATGATTTTACTATAGGAATGCATTAGAAATGATTTGAATACTAGCTCTTTATGGAACATGGAATATTATGGCTAGGATTTATGAAACAAATCCATCCAAACTTTCATTCCATCTAATGATTCCATATCTAGTGATATAGCAAATACTAAAAGCATCTATAGAAATTCATTGCAAATGATTTTACTATAGGAATGCATTAGAAATGATTTGAATACTAGCTCTTTATGGAACCTGGAATATTATGGCTAGGATTTATGAAACAAATCCATCCAAACTTTCATTCCCTCTAATGATTCCATATCTAGTGATATAGCAAGTACTAAAAGCATCTATAGAAATTCATTGCAAATGATTTTACTATAGGAATGCATTAGAAATGATTTGAATACTAGCTCTTTATGGAACCTGAATATTATGGCTAGGATTTATGAAACAAATCCATCCAAACTTTCATTCCTCTAATGATTCCATATCTAGTGATATAGCAAATACTAAAAGCATCTATAGAAATTCATTGCAAATGATTTTACTATAGGAATGCATTAGAAATGATTTGAATACTAGCTCTTTATGGAACCTGGAATATTATGGCTAGGGTTTATTACTTGTTTGAAAAATCCTAAAATCTATCAAAACCTTCATTTCTAATAATTATTTCGCATTTGGTTGGATAAAATATTTGTTTTTTTTATTGTTGTTCGATCGCATCAGATGATTTTATTTTTAATTAATTCTTGCTGTTAAATGTGGATTTTAATGATCTACAACTTAATTTTCTGTTTGTTCTTGAAGCCATATCTTCACAACAAATGATTTATACTTGTCGCTGGAGATTTGCTCTCCTTAACTCCCCACCGGCGCCCAGCATCTCCCACATTTTACCGCCATTGCTCAATAATACCATGGTCTGCAGAAACATCAACCATTCCATGAATTGCTCATCCTCCTGTGTTTTTATTATTTCATAATCTGAGAGTTCCGTGTTTCCACAGGTTTCAATGATCTCAAATTCCTTATTTACAAGATCTAAGGCAATTGCATTGGATGTCAATCTAAAACATAGTAATTAGTTATTTATTTCTTTATATAATCAAATAGAAATCATTTGTACAGACTTTGACGATTCTTAACACTTCTTTTACTTCTCTTTATATGATTATTATTTACATTATTTACATTATTCGGACTATTGTCCTCATCTTTTTCGCCATGGCACAGTAGATAAAGGCTTTGGTTAGATCCAGTGACAAGACCCAAAGAGTGTGAGTTCAATACCCGGTTATGGCAGTGGAGAACTTTCAGAGGAAAATTAACAGGAGATAACTGATAACTGACATCCATCAAACATGGCACGTGGAACTAGAACAGTCTACCCCAGTGATCGAAATAAAGGGTTCGGTTCGACATTCCAACCACCTGAAGAAGGCCGGAGCGTACAACGGCCGAAACGTTGTGATGGATATGGCGAAAAAGATGAGGACAATAGTCCGAATAATGTAAATAATGTACATAATACCTCATCTCAGAAATATAGACAGACTCATTATTATTATTATTATTATTATTATTATTCCATGTGTTATCATCTTACCAGAGAGTAATTTTAAGTGCTTAATTACCAAGTCCCCTCTGGGGGTCTATGTGTAAAAAGGAATTACTGTAGGCATTTTGGAATGTTTAGATGGAGAGATTTTTCTAAGATGGTAGGTGAAGTTCCGCACAAAGTCCAGCAATTATACTTTCATGATTTTCAGCAGTCTTTATCATACTCAGTGACCTTATTAGGACAGGGATAATCGGGGATTTAAGATTCCATATTCTCTTGACTCCGATTTGCAAGTTCTTATAATTTTACTGTTTTTTGCAATTCTTTTTTAGAAACAGGTTGCTGTTGTGGTTGTTGTTTTTGCTGCTGCTGTTGTTGTTGTTGTTGCTGTTTTTGTTCAGGCCAGCATCAACTGATGATCCCCGTGTCCACATTGTCGATATCTATAAATGCTGTAACTCTGATATTGACGACCATTAAATAATAATAATAATAAAATGATTATAACAAATTTGTAAGGTAGAAAGAAAGAACTAAAAAAAGAAAGGAAGAAATAAAGAAACTGAAAGATAAATATACAGAGAGATATGCAAAGCCTGTGGGAAAAAAAATGGAAAAGAGGCATCGAAATATATGAAAAAGTTAGATTAGATAGATAGATAGATAGATAGATAGATAGATAGATAGATAGATAGATAGATAAAAACAGTCTGAGATAGATAGATAGATAGATAGATAGATAGATAGATAGATAAAAACAGTCTGAGATAGATAGATAGATAGATAGATAGATAGATAGATAGATAGATAGATAGATAGATTAGAAATCACCTAGATGTGAAAAGGCGGATGGAAATTCTTAACCGGCAGACATAAAACGTCTAAAAAATCCTGATTACTGCTAACCATTTCCAATTTCATTCAGGATCTTCACATATTCGTTCATACTTAATGCACACTCACAGTCGTATATATATATATATATATATATATATATATATATATATATATATATATATATATATATATATATATATATTGTTGTTTGCTGAAAGTTTTTCAGCCATACCCACTTTTCAAAATCTAAATTTAACTAATTAGACATGAATATTAAAGTTCACCTAACACTACTTCGTTTCGTTGGTTGTTTGGCTGACTCATTGGTCAAATTTGTGTTGCTGCCTATCAACCTCTATGTGTTATTTAATACCGAAATCAAAATATTTGTGGTTTCAACTACTGCTATTGTGTACGTAATTTTAAACTTTCAGGGCAAAGTTACATTTTTTTTTTTTTTTAGATATTTACTTTGTAGATTGATATCGGCTTGATCCCGTATCCAAGAATTAAATTTCCTT